TTGAAAGCTACACTTTATTACCTCTAGGAATAATTCCAGTGAAGAGACAAGCAAAAGTGTACCTTCACTGATAAAATCTGAAATGATCTATCCCTAATTAGGGAAGGAGAAAAGGACTCTGTGCAATGTTAATTGGTCTGGCATATAAGTGGGAAGATCCTAATGCAATGTTGGTCATCTAAGGAATAAAAAAATAACAATAATGCTGGAAGCCTCTATTAGATGCTGACTCAAATGCTTCCGGAATAGCACTGATTTTTCAAAGAAATATCTTTTGGGCATGAAATTTTTCTTTACTCAGCCAGAAAATTTTGATTTGAATATTTAAACACTAAAACACTGCCTATTACAATATACACTGGAAAAAAAAATATTCTTATGAGTGTCAGGAAAGAAAGAATGGCTAATTGTACCAGTATATTTGAGGGAATATTTATCTTAAAATTAATTGATCAAAAGCAAAGATGGGCATCAAAAGTGTTACTTAATACCTCATGAGAGTAAAAGGAAAGTCATAGGATTTGAATATCGGCTTGTTTTTCTATTCACAATCTCTCAACTGACTTGAATCCCTCTTGGGAAAGTGACTCTGAAAAACCCCTTCTACTATCGTAGTGTAGGAGGTTTGAAATGGAAACTTGAAATTGAAAATTTACTTTTAAGATTCATGAGATTTTAGGGGCTTTGTGCTTGTTTCTCACTCTAAGGAATTAAAAAAAAAACATAATCTTTATCTTAGAGAAAGCAAGGATAAATCAATTCATTATAAGCAAATATAATGCAAATCCAAGTTTGTTTAGAATACTGACTTAGGAATGAGGGAAGATCGATCTATCTATCTATCTATCTATCTATCTAACTACCTGTCTTCTATCTACCTACCTATCACATAGATAGATGTATGTATACACACACACATATACGTATGCATATGTAAGTATTCAATTTTGGTGAAAATCCAGAGTCGAGTGTAAATGAAGTACGGAGTAGGCTTGTATCACTGAAGTTTATAATTCAGGTAACAGTGAGACATGCTCAGACACTGGTTGTACCTCTTCTTTATCTCCACTGGAAGAGGGACCTGCTATAGTGAGACAGTCTGTGGACCATAGCAGCTCAATGGTCTCTGCTGTAAGAAGATCCAGATGTCCTCCCCCCAAAATACTTCACTCTAAACCTACATGAGTTCCTTACTTATTAGTAATTCTTTAAACATCTATATCATCTACACTATTCTTTCCCTAAACCACTCTTTTTTTTTTTAATTTTTAAAAATGTTTTAACGTTTATTTATTTTGAAAGAGAGAGGGAAGGAGGAAGGGCATGAGTGGGGGAGGGGCAGAGAGAGAGAGAGAGAGAGAGACAGAATCTGAAGTAGGCTCTAGGCTCGGAGCTGTCAGCACAGAGCCAAATGCAGGGCTTGAACTCACAACCCCCAAGATCATGACCTGAGCCCAAGTTGGGACACTTAACCCGCTGAGCCACCCAAATGCCTCTTATCTAAACCATTCTTAAATCTGTTCCTATTTCTAAACAGTGCCCCCTCTTGCGATAACACATTTAAAACTTAATTACCTAAGGAATCAGGCTTCCTCTCTGTTGTGACAGTACATCCACGACTATGAAAATCCACCAGGTCCCCGATTAGGGAAATTTTATCTTCATAACCCTCACAGTGTCTCATGCATCTTGCATGTAAAAGATTCGTAAGTAATGTATGCTAATTGAACACCCCGAGAATTGGCTAGAAAGGAGACTAGTTTTGCTTTCTTTTCATCTTTGCCTACTATAGAAGATGTTCATATTGTTTTTTTCTCCTACATTTTTCCCTCATAGTCTCTACCAAATTAAAACATGCTGAAATACTTGAGTTTGATTATGTATCACACAATCTCATTAAACTCCAAAGTCTTTTTGTAACATGAATTTCCACAAAAGTAGGTAATATCAAAATGTTTTGAAATAAAATCATATGCTGGTAAGGAAGAGCACAAAATTAAATTATATGATTATTTTATCCAATCAGCCATTAAATATCAATTATTCTAAGCTTGAAATATCAATTTTGGTACATGAAAAAATATCTTGTAAAATGCTTCACAAATATGTATGCCCTTCAGGAAAAATCCAAAAAGTAGCAATGATGTAAAAGGAAAAATAGAAATTAAAGTCAAGATGACTTCTCTCTCTCTCTTTTGTTAAGTTTATTCATTTATTTTGAGAGAAAGAGAGAATGCACACAAGGGGTGAGGGAGAGGAAGAGAGAGAGAATTCCAAGCAGGCTCTGCACTGTCAGCACAAAGGCCGACCCAGAGCTCAACCTCACAAACCATGAGATCATGACCTGAGTTGAGATCAAGAGTCAATTGCTTAACCAACCGAGCCACCCAGGTAGGTGCCCCAAGATGACTTCTCTTCAAAGACTTTCATTTTGTTTAGATTTACATATTCAAGCTGTTACAAAGGTACTTGCTTTTGTAAATTCCAGTATAATTAACAT